GGAACGGGCTTAGAATAATCAGCGGGGAAAGAAGACCCTGTTGAGCTTGACTCTAGTCTAACTTTGTGAAATGGCACGTGGGGTATAGCCTAGGTGGGAGAGCAATCGATCCTGTAAAACCACTACCCACGTAGTCATTTTGCTTATTTCGTGAAGAAAAGACTGGTGCAAACCAGTTCTAAAGTTAAGGTCATTTATTGACTGATTTTTGCGAAAGACATGGTTAGGGGGGGAGTTTGTCTGGGGCGGAATGCCTGTTAAACCATAACGCAGGCGTCCTAAGTGTAGCTCAGTGAGAACGGAAATCTCACGTAGAACAAAAGGGTAAAAGCTACATTGATTTTGATTTTCAGTAGGAATACAAACCGCGAAAGCGTGGCCTATCGATCCTTTAACTTTACAAGTTTTAAGCTAGAGGTGTCAGAAAAGTTACCACAGGGATAACTGGCTTGTGGCAGCCAAGAGTTCATATCGACGTTGCTTTTTGATCCTTCGATGTCGGCTCTTCCTATCATTGTGAAGCAGAATTCACAACGTGTCGGATTGTTCACCCGCTAATAGGGAACGTGAGCTGGGTTTAGACCGTCGTGAGACAGGTTAGTTTTACCCTACTGATGAAACGATGTTGCGACAGTAATTTAAGTTAGTACGAGAGGAACACTTAAATCAGATAATTGGTAAATACGGTTGTCTGAAAAGACAATGCCGTGAAGCTACCATCTGTTGGATTATGACTGAAGGCCTCTAAGTCAGAATCCATGCTGGAAAGCAATGTCTAAGTGTGATGATAAACGAAAAAAAATAAAAATTAAGTTCGAAAGGTAGAGCGGGGAAGAGCGAAAAAGCTTGACCTTAACTGCTAATCGTAATTCCAAATTATCATCTACGTAAATCTTTTGTAGACGACTTAACATGGAACGGGTATTGTAAGCATGAGAGTAGAATTTCCTACGATCTGCTGAGATTCAGCCCGTCTCCTTAGATTTATCTCATCTCCCTTTATTTTTTACTTCTGCTGGGGTTGTTAACCTCTTTAAGAAATTTTTTTTATGTTTGATTTATTTAATTTAATTTTGTTTAACTTTAGTAAATTTTTTTCCTTTTTTCACTCCACTGGGGTTATTAAATACTTAGAGATTTTTTATTTTTATCAAATAATTTATGAACTCATTAAACAAAACAAAACAAAGTTAAAAAAACTCAATAGATTTGCTAATAAGATGCAAAGCAGCTAGGAAGGCAATTTTTCTCATTTTAGAAGCTTTCATCAACTGCTTATAAATAAATTATAAATCAATATTAAAAATGTTAAAGTTTTATGTTATTTTGTAGTAAAAAAATTGAATAGTTTGTGTTAAGCTGATATAAGTCTTTATGCATGAT